CCTACAAACAATTAATTTCATTCACTAAAACTAAATTATACCTAATATATATATATTGTTGCCGGAATTTCGATTAACCGAAAATGGAGGCTGGTTATTTCATTAACTAATATTACTAAATTAATTAACTACAAATAATAAACTTAAGTTAATTAACTAATATTATTAACATTAACTAAATCAACTAAAATTATTAAAATTAAACTAACTAAATTTAATTAACTATCATTAATAAAATTAAATTAATTAACTAAAGGAGGGAGCTGGGCGGCGCGCAGTGGAATTCTGCTGTCTTCTCGCCAGTCACACAAGAGAATAGACACAAGGAAGAAGGCAAAAGAGAAGAAAAGAACAGAGACAGAAAAGAAAAGAAAGAAAGGAAAAAGAAGAAAAGGAAGAAAGGAGGAGATCGGTGGTGGTGCGGTGTGTGAAGCTGGAGGTTGGCGCAGAAATTGAGTGGGTGAAAGAAAATGAAGTTGCAGCGCTGGATCATACTAGAACTGCTTTGGGTCGAAAACCGTTTCGGTTCGATTCGATTCGGCCCAAATCCAGCGATTTTTAACTGAGTTTTCAGCCTTTTTCAATCGGTTTTCGAATCCCGGTTTCTTTCACTAAGTATTTCGTGACTAAAATATTAATATTTATTTACAGGTCTGTCGGTTTTATTAAATTTAATTAGAAAAATCTTTTGAAATAAAATTCGGGTTGTTTTCACAAACAATAATAAGGTTGATATAAACCAACCAATCCATAATTATAGTATTCGTACTAAAATATTAATATTAATTTACAGGCTGTCGGTTTATTAAATTTAATTAGAAAATCTTTGAAAATAAAAATTCGGGTTGTTTCACAAACCAATAATAAAGGTGATTAAACCAACCAAATCCATAAATACTACTCCTTTCGTTTCACTTTAATACTACTTCCCTTCCATAATACTTGTTATATTTAAGAAAATAGTTTATTTTAAAATACTTATAATATTTGTGGTTTCAAGAAGTCATAATTTTTTCTTTCATATTTACCGTTTGTATATAATCAATAATTATTACTTCAATTTAATGATTTCTTAGAGAATTAGTATTACATTAAGGGTAATATAGTCAATTTATTCAAAAATTTATCTTAACTTAGACAAATTTAATGATTTTCTTAACGACATGAAATTCTAAATGTGACAAGTATCATAATAGAGGTAGTAGTATCATTTGCTCTTTTTACAAGAATTAAAAAAATAATTAAAATTTATTGATTTTTTAAAAATATATGATACTATATTTAAATTGTCATTCTTAAATATAAATATAAAAATGAATTTCACCCAATAAAAATATGAGTAAAATGAAAAAAAATAATATAGTCTCAAAAATCATAAACCAATCTCTAATTATTAAGATTTGAAAAGAATAAGGTTGAATGATACTTTCAATTGATTCTTTGTCAAAAAGCTAGGTTTTTTATTATTCGGTTCGCGATTTTGCACAATTCAAAAGCTAAGTGGAGTTAAAGATTCTGAAAAAACGGTTTTCGTAAAGAAGATGATTTTTGACGGGGGATCAGAGCTATACACTAGAGGAGATGAACGATAGCCCCTTCTCTCTCTCTCTTTTTTTTCTTAAATTCCTTTACCAATATTAAAAGTTTGAACCATGGTGAACCAGATTTTCCAGCACACCTTCAACTATCTTACCCCATTCATCTCTAGAATTGGTGGAGAATCCACAAAATCATGTAGAATAAGAAAATTTTAGAAACACCTAAAATACTATTTTAAAAATAGCATAGCTCCAAGTACATGCTGGACAACGTATACATTGTTTTAACTATACATGAAGGATTATTTTAAACTAAGCAATGAATTGCGGTCACATCGCATAACAACATTAACATTTATAAATTCACGGACCACTTCTGAATGATTCTGTATCTCATGAAGACCACGAGATATTAAATTGGTAATTAAAAATATTTACATATAAATTGGAGTGATGTTTACACACTTACTCGTACCTAATAAACCAAGTGCACAACATCAAGCATAATAGCAAATTGTTCAATTTGGTATCCACAATTTCATCAAAACACACTATCTTCGGCTTGTATTTTTGGAGCCTTTATATGGGTTTTTGGAGCCTTTATATTCGGCCCATTTAACCAGTTTTAGTGCAAATATAAAATCTATTCGATTTTAATGATTTTACTGCGATTTTATGAAATTACGAATTCATACATGAGTAGATATGTTTTTTCAAGTTTTTCCACATTGAAATCGTAAACTCCATGAGTTGAATTTGCGATTTTAATAAAATCGAAAACATCTAGTTTGTGATAAATTTCAATTACTCCACCAAAATTCGAGGCCATCGTCCCATGTGGGCCAGATTTGGGCTTGAGCCCGCTCTTAGTTTGTGCAGGCTTCAAATGTTTTGAATTTTCTTTTCTTTTTTTGGTAAAGAAGGATGAAGCAAACTGACAGAACCATAGATATTCTAAATTTTCTCTTAATAAAAAGAATTTTTGTTATTTTTTGGTTAAAAATAAAATATTTCTTTTTTATTTAACTTTTCATCTATATATTGTGGAATTCGGATACCAAAAAAATAAAAATTAGAAAGATTAAGATTGAAACTATTTTGACATCAAATCTTTAAAAAAATTACTAATAACCAAAAGGATTTTCATTTTCCAATGTTTCTGAAATTTTTTTTAATATTATCAATTTTAGCATTATTTAAAAATTAATTATTTTCAATTGGTTACAATCAATAAAAATTAAAATTAAAAAATAATTCTAATTATCTTCACCCTTTCCACGCTTATAGATTCTATTGATCTTTTTATGTGACAATGCTATATCTTTTTGAATGTGAGTGCTTATGTTTTCATCTTGCTTTAAATTTATGTCTACGTCTCTATTTAAGATGCCATTGTACAAGAACTTTACTAAAGGTTGAGTTGTGGAAATTTGGGGGGACCAACATAAAAAGCAACACATAAATATGATAAGCATTGGATGTTTCTTTGTTTGTACTTAGAGCTTGGTTATTGGTAACCTTACCCGGAAGTAATCTAAGCCTTCTTTTTCATTTGCATTGTGAAACATATTGGAATTGGATTACTTCTCAAACAAGATTATTGGCAACAAAAATCTCCTCAAATAAGCACTCAAAAACTTAGTATGAAAATAAAATTAAGTTTGAGTCTACCTCTTTTAATACTAAAATAAGCAGGGATGTCAAATTGGATTGACATGTCAGGTTCACCACGAATTTGTCTGACATGCGATACGATTAGGGTCAACATAAACATGATCTATTTTAATAACAGTGTTAAATTTGTCAACACGAATACAATATAAAAATTAGTCAGGTGACATGAACCCAATGCGTGTAACCGACCTAATATCATAAGCAGGTTAAATGAGTCGTGTTGACTCGTGTAACCGCCTAATATCATAAACATGTTAAATGAGTCATATTGACCTAATACGATCCACTTAACTTGCTTATGATATTTTTAAGCAGGTTAAATGAGTCGTGTTGACTCGTGTAACCGCCTAATATCATAAACATGTTAAATGAGTCATATTGACCTAATACGATCCACTTAACTTGCTTATGATATAGTCGTGTTGACTCGTGTAAACCGCCTACATATCATTAAAACATGTTAAATTGAGTGGCTCATATTGACCTAATACGATCCACTTAACTTGCTCGTATGATTATTTACAGCAAGTTAAATGAGTCGTAGTTGAGCTCGTGTAACCGCTAAGTATCATAAACAATGTTAAATGAGTCATATTGAACCTAATTCCTGACTCCACTTACTTAGCTTATTGATATTTTTAAGTTTCCTAACCTATTTAACTACTTAACTTGCTTATGATATTTTTAAGTTTTAACCTATTTAACTCAAATTATATTTAAAAATAAATTTTCATACATAAAATACATAGATTCTTCAATATTCATAACTAAAATAAAAAAAATTAATATAAAAATAAAGTTTAAATAGAGTGTTAGTTGGAATATTTATATCTGACACTAAAATTGCTTTTTTATCTTGAAATAAACGAGTCACTCGTCTAATTCACGTGTTAATCCATGACATAGTACATTTATTTTCGTATCATAAACGGATAATCCGTTTATGACACGAATTCGTTTAATTTCAACTCTAACCAGTTTATTTTGAGTGTTAGGCGATCGTGTTTACGTGTGTCATGATACATTTTGATACTAGGTACTCCTCAATAAAAAGTATAAAACAATTCCCGTTATGGTTATCCCACGTAATAATAAACCTATTTGAATAAACAATTGTGGTTAATTGTGATGCAAATAATTGATTTGGCAACTTAAATAATTTCATTAGCTTTAACTATAGTATTAAGAGCTTTCGCAAGAGACTGAGCTGTTTTAACTATAATAACGTTCTCTTGCAAAAGCTGCTTACAGTTATGCTGGTCTCTAGGAATGGGAAAATGTTCCTCTTTTTTAAGTTACCGTTATTCTCCATTTAATTAATGGAATCGTAATTTTCTTTTCTTCAAAAAAAAAAAAAAAAAAAAAAAATGAACAAACCCTATAGTAAAGCCTAAAAAAAAAAAAAAAAAAATGACAAACTATAGTAAAAGCTTTTTAAACAAGTTTTTTATAGAAACCTTCGGATATAAAAAGTTAATTGTTCCAACTAATTAGAATTTGTGCCCGTTAAGTCTATGAAAGACATAACACGTGTCTCTCAAAAAAAATTTTTAAAAAAGATTTTAATATAAATTTAATTACTATTATTAAATTAAAAATCTCGAAGGAATTAATAGGTTAGAAATGAAAATTATATGACCAACTACAACTTTAAAATTTAGTTATGAGTTTACTTATTGCTGAAATAGAATTATAGATGTCAAAAAGAATTTTTTATTTTTTGAAAAAAAGAAAATGCTGCATTTACTTGTCTGAACGGAAATACAAGCATCTATCTCATTACTGCCATCTGCAATTCTTTTTAAATTCCAAATTGCTTTAAAAAACATTTCCACGAACATGTCTCCCCCCTCAAACCTTCCGATTTTAACGGTCACTTCTCCGCAAAAAAATAACCAGTGACACCCCAAGATGACCGAGTCACCCCCCAATTCACTCTCCCAAGGCGCCAAAGATGTTGCTACAACTAGTATTAGCATTCCTCAGATCCCAGTTGAGATCGTCAGTGAAGAAGAAATGGCTATTATTGAAGCTGCCTTGGCTGCAACTCGCTCATGCCTCTCTTCCTCTGCTATTCCTGCAATTTGTTCTCCTTCTCGATCCTCCTCTTTTTTTCAAAATAACGTGAGGTCAATCCGCTCAATTACTTCCTTGTCCAAGAAGAGGTTTCCAGGAGGTTGTAGCGATTCTGATATTGAGGATTTGAATGGTTTTAATAATACCCAGAAGAAGAACAGAGTGGCTGAGTCGTTATTTCATAGGTTTAGAAAGAAGACTGGTTTGTCTGTCACTGATATCACTTCAACGGTAACGGATAGTATTATGTTCTGGGTTTGTTTTGTGTTTTCTTGGGGCTTTGTTTGCTTTTGTTGAATTTTGAAGCTCATGGGTTATTTTGATTGAATTGAATTTATTGTGAATATCGATTTAATCCTTCTTAGGTTTCATATATTTTGTATGTCCTGAATTTAGATATTTTATAATTTTGACCAACGTTCGTTCATTATGGATTCTATTATGTTTTGTCTTAATAATTGGTTATTCTTTTCATCTAATGGGAGCTAAACCAAATGTTCCTCTTGTTTTCTTGTATGATTTTCAATGTAGGAATGGTGTGAAAAACAAATGGAGTTTGTTCTCCTATTTGGCAAAAGAAAAGTGAGCAAAGCTATGAAAGCAGGTCATGATCGCCATGTAAAACTAGAACAAGAGGTACTATTTTTAACTTAATCTAATTGTTTATGTGCATAATCTCTACCTCCCTTTAATTTCTTTTTCAAGTTTATATGATAGTCTCTTGGCTATTTCAAAGTTGGTTACTTCTTCGTTAGCTTATTAATCTATATTCTAGAACAAATTTTGTCTTTGATTTAATGTACTTTTCAATTTTTGAGGCTGCTAGTCAAGAAATTAAGTACTTAATTTGCTTTTAGTTGATTACCTTGCATGTCCTCTTATGCACACAGAATAAATTTATCTGATCTTTTTTTTTTTTTTTTTTTTTTTTTATCTGATCCTTTTTTTTTTTTTTTTTTTTTTTTTTCTGTGGGCAGATTGTTAAAAGAGTAAAGTTAAGTATTGAATGTGATGAGGATGCCATGGGCCATTTTTTTTTTTTTTTTTTTTTTTTTCTGTGGGCAGATTGTTAAAAGAGTTAAAGTTAGTATTGAATGTGATGAGGATGCATGGGCCATCAAGTTTTTGAATTTCATAACTGGTGCAAATCAATTATTGTTTGAAGGATTAACACGTGAGATCCCACTGTAAGTTTTCTGTCATTGTTCAGGTTAAATGAATTGGTTTTTGATTATTATAGTCTATGACATAAGGATTTTGTTTGCTAAAATGAGTGCCTCAAGTTCCCCTGGAGATGAGATTTAGTCTTGTTGTGTAAGTTGATCCTCACTGTCAATACCAAAAAAAAGAAAAAAAGAGTTGGTTTTGTCTAGTTAATCTGATTCCTTAGAATCCAGTACCTAACATTAGACTTTTTATTGTGTTTTTAGTCTTGGGGCGAGTAAGTTGGCCTGAAAATACTCCTTGCTGTCAATATCAAAAATCTGATTCTTTAGAATCCAGTTTCAAATGTAGAATTGTTTATGATGTTTTGATTGGGCAATTTTCTGTAAAAATGGGTGATAAGCAGAAACATACACCTGAAAAAGTTGGAAACCTGATACAATTATAATAAATAATAATAAGGGCTTGAAACATCTCTTTTTTATTGTTGGCTAGTTCTTTTGTTCATTACTGCAACTTGGAAAAGTTGGTTATATTTTATTTCTTTGCTAATTATCAATTTTGGTTGTAATATCAGAGTAGGTTTTATACATGGAATATGGCTGGTGGGAATAGTTGATGAGATCCGAATTCCTGAGGGAGGAAATAGAAATCCAATACTAGTGGACACAAAAACTCGTGTTCGAGATACCCTTCCTGCTGAACCACAAAGGAGAAATGGAAGGTATGCTTATGGTGGCTTATTTTCTTTTTCTCAATATATCCTTCAACTAGAATTCAGTTTCAATTTTCACTTTGGTATATATGTTGCGTTTACATGGAATAGAAGAAGCATCTATGAAGCATGATAATGTGCATATTTACTGTGGCAGGTTACAGTTGATGTGTTATAAGCATTTATGGGACAATTTAGTTGCTGATAAATTCCCCTGCAAAGAGTTCTTTGATTTCTTTTCCTTGAATCCACACTACATCTTATCTAAAGAAATAAGGGATAACACTGCTAAAGCAGGTATCCCAGCAAAGGTATTTTCTTTTTAATTGAATTGTTAATTACATTATCAGTGGAATTAGGGTATTACATAGGGCGTGATCCTCACCGTTTGCATATTTATCACAGTTTCATCCTAGTGCAAGACAACTGGCCTTTTCTTCTTACATCATGAGTTTATATTGAAAACCAGAACATATAATTAGTCCACCTTAATTTTGATAGCGACACGAAAGTTTTAACTCTCTTGTTTGTTTAACTGATAAGTAGTCATTTAAGAGCTATATACCTATTAAATGGCACAAACTAGTAGATATTATTAAAGGGTTAACAGCATACTAGAAGGTTCTTTCTATAATTATTAGAATGCAAAAGTTTCTCTTGTTAATTATATATTTATAGATCCTATAGGTCATAATAGTTTGCCAATCTAACTACATAGGGTACAATTTCACTGTCTTGATGAGCAGACCCTTGATGAAGTTGTGAGATACTACAGAAATACATGCAGTATGCTGCTCCCTGCCGACAACCAGATGCTATTAAGGTTAATATATGCCTCATCTTTTATTTCTTTATGGCTGCAAGTAGTTTTATGGCTTTATAACAAGGCCTTGATGTGAAAAAGCAAAAAAAATGTATGGCAGAAAAAGATAGTGTGAACTATTATTGACTTACTGTAATAGCAAGGCCTTTATTTGGATGCATTTGAGCAGATATGAGTTACAAAAAGACAATTCCGTGATCGGTGAAGAACAATTCGCATATGATCCTGATTGGCTCAATAGTCATATTCAATGTTGTCTCGAATTTTGGCTAGGTGAACGAGAAGCCAGTTTCACTCCAGAGGAAGAGAGTTGGAAATGCCGGTTTTGTCAATTTGCTTCGGTTTGCCCTAAAAACACCAGTCCTGGCACATCAAGTCCTGTAAAGATCAACAGTCCTAATAGCAGTCCAAGCTAGAACAAAATGCTAACTTAATTCTTTCAGGTTGTCATGCAAGTTCCTGCAAAGAAGCTACATATTTTATACAAGCTTCTTTGCAGAATGTTTTAATTGTTAAAGCCTATCTATCTCAAGATGTGCTAGGGTAAATATTGTTGTAAGCTTCATCATTTATTGTTGTAAAATTGAATTACTAATAATTAACAACACTATTCATTAAATCTTTCTCTCTCCCTGACTATATATTCCATCACTATGATGTGCAAAAACTGCCCTAAAAATATCTCTCTCTGTGAGTTTATATCAATATATATATATATATATACATGTAAAAATTAACTTAGATTAGTAATTATAAATAAATTGTGGGGCAATAGTTGGACTCAAAAGTTAAAACTTTTTATACAGTGCTTTTCCTGCAAATTGTTTGATACATAAATGAGATTGATTTACCAGACAAAAGGGCCAACAAACCAACGTGGCAAGTTATAAATGGAGTCTCATGAGTCGTAATGTACAGGTTACGACAGCAAATTTTTGCTCTCACATACCGTTTCCAATTTCGCAATCTAAAACCCTCCCAAAAAGCAATTGAGGAGAAGTGAACAAAACTGATAGCCAGAAGTGTCTGTGTAGCAAGAGCACGGCGGTCACCATGGCGCAAGATAACAATAAGAGGAAGAAACCAAATATACTGATAACTGGGACTCCCGGAACAGGTAAAACGACGACGTCCTCTGCTCTGGCTGAGGCAACGCAGCTCCGCCACATAAATATCGGAGATTTGGTCAAAGAGAAGAACTTGCACGACGGCTGGGACGACCAATTCGAATGCCACGTCATCAATGAGGACCTGGTACCCCTCACTAACCCTAATCCCCAATCTGATATAAATTTTATTCCAATTGACAATCTTTTTGTTCACTTTTTCGCCCCTAAAATTTCCCCTCAGCTAGCTTGAAGTCTTAAACTCAAATTTTTAAATAATAACCTATTTTGGTTCATTTATAGACAGATTATTTAGGGTTTCTTGTGAATTTAGTGTTGTTAGATTGAATTTTATATAGTGAAAATGAGAAAGCTTGGGTTTTTGCAAAGGTATGTGATGAGCTTGAGGATATAATGGAAGAAGGTGGAAACATAGTGGACTATCATGGTTGTGATTTCTTTCCAGAACGGTGGTTTGATCGTGTTGCAGTGCTTCAAACTGACAATTCTGTGCTATATGATCGCCTGAATAAGAGGTAATTGCTTACATAGTTTACATACATTGCATATTTTGGTTTGGACTACCAAACAATTACAGGTTGTTAGTTTCTTGTTTGTTTTGTTTGCTCAAAAGGTAAAATTTGCTTTGTGGTAGGGGGTACTCACAAAACAAGATTTCGAACAATATTGAATGTGAAATTTTCCAAGTTCTGTTAGAAGAGGCAAAAGAAAGTTATCCGGAAGATATTGTTTTAGCATTAAGGAGTGATTCTATTGAGGACATCAGTAGAAATGTTGCTACTTTGACAGACTGGGTGAGGAATTGGCAACCTGTATCGTAATTGAACTATTTCGAATGTCCTGTTTATTATGTTCTTTCTCTGGTGCAAGTGGCTATTGAGGTATTCAGCTCTTTCTTTAGCAGGATTTTGATATATGTATCTTGGTTTTCTTATGCTGCTTGGAAGCAAGTCAGAATTGTTAAATTTTGAACATTTGCATTTTCTTTTACATAGATTTTGGAACAAATCCATGTGAAATTCATTTCATTAAAAAATTAATTTATATATGAGTTTTCATGTTTGGATCAACCATAGAATTCATTCTATGTGGCAAGCTTTACTAGCTCATACTTACAATTCAGTAGCTGTAGCAGTTTGTACTTACTCTTTTAAGTTTAAGGTTTATTTGCAAGTTCCATCAATTTTGGTAGGATTTAGGACTGAGAATATCCAATTCTGTATAATGAAAAATGTGAATTTTGAAATGAATTCTCATGTACACCAAACATGAATATTGGATATTAAATGAATTCCATAAATTCTTTTGGAAGTTATTAATACAAACAAGCTCTTAGCTAAATTTTATTTGGCCAACGGTTTTCTTATGAAATGCATGTTTTAGTTGCAAGGTTATAGTTCTTTTGTTATGGTTACAAGTGTAGACATGAAACAGCTTTTAGTGGTTGTGGTTGATTTTAGAGTTAATCGAAAAGTACTTTATCATTCAAGTCCATTTTCTAGTTCTAGTTCATCGTTGCATTAGTAATAGGATCTTCCAAGTAATTAGTTAAGAAACAGTAATAGGACTTAGTAGTAAGATCTTCCAAGTGTAATAAGAGAGAGGAATATGTCATTTTTATGTCACATTTTAATTTCAATGAGTTACATTAGTAAATGAGTCCCATAATGGTATTGGACGCACTTGGTTTTATGAACTTCATAAGCTAAGTAGCACAAACCAAATAGAAAGACGAATTGAATGGTCATTTCCCTTTACATGCTTTATTCTTGTAAAACATGGAGTAATTATGTAGGACATGACTTTAAAAGGAGAAGCAATATGAAAGCTTCAAGTTCTAACAGTTTCACTAAGTATAAGAAAGCCGGATTATTCTTTATGCCAATTTTGGAAATATAGAATTTTTTTTTATGTATTCTTTTTCCCTAAATAGAGAAAGACAATATTCTAAAGGTCTATTTAGTTTAGCTGTGCAGACCAGCTTATAGCTGATGTGGCTGGCTGATGTTGCGTAAGAAATAGCTATCGGCCTGTTCGGGGATATTAGTTACATTAGAAGCTGATTGCTCTTTTAATAATTGGCAATATTAGTTATTTTAGTAGTTGTTGGCTGTTTTAATAGTTGTTATTTTAGTAGTTGTTGGCTGTTTTAATAGTTGTTAAAAGCGAAAGCGATCAATAAATTTAAAAACAGCTGTCTGATTAGTAATAAATTTAAAATGATAAAAAAGGACATAAAATATTCACCTAGATTTTTCAATTAAATTCATTATAAACAAAATAATTTTACTATATCTAAAATTTCAAAATTCAAGGGAGCAAAATTGAAAAGTTCATTATTTTATAAAAATTTATAGATTTATGAAGCTGTCGTGATTAGTTATATTTAAATTTTTAAAGATTGATATATAAAAGGAATCAAAAGATATTCTTAATAACCTAGATTTTTCAATTAAATTCATTATAAACAAATAATTTAACTTTAATATCTAAAATTTCAAAATTCAGGGAGCCAAAATGAAAAGTTCAATTATTTTATAAATAAATGGAAAATTTTTAATATTTAGGGGATCAACATTCAACATTTTTAATTTTTAATATTTGTTTGAGTTTAAATACAAATACATAAATAACGTTTAAAAATAAGGTTGTAAAAAAATAATAATAATAAAAAGAGTGAAATAGTAAGATAGCGTTTTAGAAAATATTCCATGAACCTACAAAAAAAAAATAATAATAAATGCAACGGACAATCTTACCGGTCCTGCATTTTTATTGCAAGTTCAGCAGCCAGATCATCAAATTATCAAATTTATAAGTACTACCCCACTGAACTGAAAATATTTGGTTATGGGAAAATAAATCAATTTAATTCCGGCTTAAATTACTCCCTCAAGTGGACATTAATTGCTTAAATTTTAATTTGTAACTTAAACTCTCCTATTATCAATTTAAATAAGTATATGATCATTTTTTTTAATTCGACCAAAGGATGATTCATATGACATATAAAATTTTTTTAAAAAAATCTATTCTAAACAAGTATATGATTATGTTATATGTTATTTTTCTCTTTTGGCTCCCTCATTTCTCACTTAAATCACTCTTTTATTTTTTTTTCTTGTGTGCATAAAATTTCAATTTCACCCTTCTTTGAAATTGGAACTAGAGATTTGGGAACTATGGTCATACATGATTACAGTGTCACCACCACCGAATATATATTTTTTTTAGTCAACGTACAAAAAATAAATAGTAAAATATTATAAAAATATAAAAACATGCTCTTTTTACTTTATCTTGATTGTTTGAATCAATTTTTTTTTATCCAAATAGGCTAGTTCAACTGAATTAAAATCAATTCCTCGTTCTTGAATATCATTTTTTTTAATGATGAAGCATTTAAAGGAGTTATGTTTTTTAAATATCTCTCCATTATTTACCTTTACAAAATAAATTATAAAATTAACTAAATTTGATAGCAAACAAGATTAGTACCAATTATCAAACGTGAAATGGTAACAATAATCACAAATTTTTTTTTTAAGTAATAATCTGAACTTTTTTCCAAAAAAAGTAGAATTATTAAATTAAAAAAAATTAAAATGAAATAAAAAATTAAAAATTCAAATTTCTTGGCCTATTTCCAAAAGGTAATTCATAAATTGTCACGACCCGATTCCATGGGCCGGACCGGCACTAGAGCCCAGGTAAGTTTAAGGCCCCCGAGGCCCGTAATAAGCCTGAAACACTAAAAGTTTACTATCTCAATATAATTTTAAACATTCAGCCCATATTTATAGGAAAATAAACCTCAAGATTCTATTAAATCTCGTATCTATTAAATCTCGGCCCAAATTATCAGTTACAAACCTTCCACCAGGTTGCGGGCCCAATTAAACATAACATCACATTTTTAATTATGGGGCTCCACATAATTATATCGTCATGTTAATACCAAATGTAAGTAAATTCTACAACTGCGGAGTCACTAACTATTTGGTATACATAGCTTTTTATACATATAATTACATAGTAAAATGATTATAGAACTAGGAAAATTTCTTTATAGCCATGCGGTGAAGAAACATAGGTTATACCGAACTAAAGAGAAACTTACTTCCTGAAAAATTAAACAAGACATGTGAGTTTTTTTAAGGAATAATAATTATTACACAACACACGCAGTCACACATATGTGTAAATATATCAATCTAGTCATCCGACTAGTTATATGCTCACGCAGCCAGTCACACAAATGACACATCACCAGCACTCACAATCATTAACAACATTCTTCAAAATATAAATCCACAATCAATCGTGAAAATTGGTTTCCCCTGTGGCGTCACCAAAACCCCCGATGAGCCGTCCTCCACATGGCCCATCCTCTCATAAACGTGTTGCACCAAGAGCGAATCCCCCATACTGTCGAACCGGTCCCTAATCCTCCTTGACCAGCCCTCTTCATTGTTTTTCCAGTCTCTACCTCCTTTATATTATATAAATTATATAATAATACCAACAGGAGGACTAGGTGGTCTCCATCCGAAAATCTAGATCATCAAGCCACACAACAGGAGGCCACCCTGCCCGGGCCTGCAATCAAATCTAGATTATCAGTGCGCAACAACAAGCGCCCATCCTGTGGTTAACGGTAACGGTAACGGTAGTACACACGGGGCGCCGGAATCTCCAAATTGTACCCGCCGACGGCCCAACCAATTCCTCACACAACCACATGGTGACCCACTTTCATCCCAACGCCACACAAACAAAGCATAGCATAATCACACATAATTAATCAAAACATTCAATTAGATGCAATACATATTGATCGAGTTTGAACCATCGTAATGCAATGCAAATTAGACATTCATTCTCAAATGCTAATTAAATATTAAATAAATAATATTAAACCAATAAACAACATGATAAAATAAAAAATAATAATAAACAAATAATGATGAAATAATAAATAAAATAATAAATAAATAACGGAATAATTAAATGAATAATAATGATAATAAATAAATAATTAGAGCACTTTATTTGTTATGCATCAAATTATAGAATTTAACTAAATAAACTTATTTATTATGTTCTATTGAAATTTCGGCAGAACCTCTCCTAAAAATATGACTATCTACTTGTTTAAATATCACAATAATATTATATATTTATCAATCAATACACACGGCCCATCCGTCGGGCATTCAATCAAATCGAATATCCGTCTTCCTTTAAACATCAGTATCGCCATTTATCATCCATGACAACTTACATAAGCTTAGTTCATAATCTAAATAACATCATATTTACTTTATGTAAAAACATAATTGTCCAATCCCTAGCAAATTCTTTGAAACTCATACTAAATCAACTACTCTTTGCATGATTAAGAAGTTTTCATAATTCCTATTAACTTATCATAAGCTTGCTGCCATTTCAAAATAAACATAAACCTTCAGCCTTATCAATAGCATAAAATCCCTTCATAACTCTTAAGGTGCAAGGTTTAAGAATCTAAATATTTTTAAATCTAAAAAATTAACTATCAATATAAGTAATACATGTAAGAATGAAGACGAATGAGTGATATTTATCCGCTTCTCTCCCAATCACAATCACTTTTAAGCCATTTGAAAGAGGGAATGTCCAAATTTCTTATTAAATCATAGTCTAGATGTTATATTCATTATTCCTCGAAGAAATAGACATACTACATCCTTTGCCATCTCATTATAGATATTTGGTACATTACCCATATCTCTTCATATTATAATGTACTCGTACAGATAGCAGATTAGTTGCTGCCCGTATTGAAGAAGTCTTTTGATTTCCCTTACCAAAATTTGCAATAACTAAGATAAACCTTTATTCCTTATATGTAATTCAGTTCATGTTTTCAAATTAGGGATTCAATTTATAGCTTCCATTTATATTTTTATTTATCAAAATTTCTTAGTTTATCTTCATAACAGTAACTAAGAAGTTCTATTTCTATATCAATTCTCCTATTCAGGATCAAATTCATGAAATGTATTGAAAGGGTTGAAAATAACTTACTCTACTCGTCGGAAATTCAAAAAGGAAAGCAGATAGCGCGACTGTACAGATCGCAAACCACGATCGCAGCTCCGCTAGCTTGCTGTGTCAGCCGGATCGGGAAAGGAGGGAGCAAAAAGGGAGACCCAAGCTTCGTCGTCGATAGAGAGAGGCTGGTGCGTCGAAAAATCGAGGAGCAGGAGGCTCGATGCGACTTTCCGATCGAAGGATGTCGCGGCTCTCCTGTACCTTCTGCGTACGCCAGAAACGAAAGAAAGGAGAGAAGGGATTGCCGGAATCCGCTGCGGCGAGGAGGCGACGGCAAGGTGTGGCACTGGTCTCTGGTGATCGGAAAATGAGAGGAGGAGAGGGCGAGGGTGAGGTCGACGCTGGAGGAAGAAGAAGAAAGGATAGAAAAAAAAGAAAGAAAGAAAGTAGGTCGGTTTCTAGATCATTCCGGTTTGATTCGAACCAGTTTGGTCTGATTTAATGATTTGGCTCGATTTTGGCTCGATTTGCAGGTTTTCTAATCCGATTTGATTTATTTTGATTCTTTTAGTTAGGTTCTAGAACATTTCCTCAATTTACTAAATAGTAATATTACTATAATAGTAATATAAATAATAAAATATAATAGATTTTTTAGGAATCAATAATTTATATAGTAACACACCACATATAAATATACATTTTTAATAAAATTAGATATTAGTGCTCCATAGTTCACTCTGAAAAATTATAAAGGTTCTCCACTCGCAAATTTAATAATATGAATTTTGGGGCTTGAGCCCAACTCCGTACTTTGGCTCGAATTAGAATTAAACAGTATTGCAGTATTTGCAGTCCAGACAGTCGAAAATTCAGATTTTTGATTTAATAAAAATTCAAAAGTTTCGAAAATAAAAATTAAGGGTGTTTCATAAATGAAAGAAATTTTTGAATAAATTGAAATATTGAAAACATTGAGTTTATTGATATTTTGAATTTTTTAATTATTGATCAATCAATAATTTATTAATCAATGTCTAATTTTTTAAAAGGAAATAAAAAAAAATAACTAAGAAGTAAAATGAAGTAAAAGATTATATATAATTTGAATTACCAAAAGTAGTTTGTTTAAAGTTTGATAGTGAAGTATCTCTGTTTCACTATACTTCAAATCTTACATATTTATTTTTTTTTCCCACCCATTTTGATGAATACCAGTACAAATGCCATTATGGAAAGGGTAATTAAGGTTTTGATTCTTAAAATATAAAGTTATTATTTTATTATTTATTGCAAAAAGGACTAAAATTGAATTAAAAGTCTGAGTCACAAAGTTAATCTCAAACTTAATTTTTATTAAATTGAACATGGCAAAGTTTATAAATTCAACCCTGCTTGAACTTTATATATATGTAAAAAAATTTAGTGGCACCTTAATTTTTATTTTGATCAATTAGACCTTTTAATTTATAAAATTATATATATTCAACACCTTAATTTATAAAATTCTTCTTATCGAATACTTATAAAATATTAAAATGTGAAAATTACATAAAAATATGTATAATGAATCTCGAACAATAGTAATTAAAAAAAAATGTGATTAGGTGTTCAATAAACACGACAGAACAAGTTGAAATGTTAAATAGTTAAAATTTTATAAATTGAGACTTATAAGTTATGGCTGCATGCATAATTTAATGTTTGAATTTTTAATAAAAAAGAGACTTATGACATTTTAAATTTTAAAATTGACAATGTCACGCGTCTAATTTCATTTTTTGAAATAATCTCACATCTTTTTTTACTAAAAACAACAATAATTTTAAAATTTTTACCTTGTGTACACAAAATATTGGTCTAATGTGTAGTTAATTAACTTTTAGAATAATATTAATTTTTACAGTTTTTTACTGTTTAATAAATATTTAATCGATATAAATCTTTAAATTTAAATATTTCACGAGTAAAATTGAGTGTTCTAGCGAATTCAACAGGTCAAATCAAAAATTGCAAGCCAAAAAAATACCGGAGTGAATCAATGTATTGAGCACCAAATGGGCTATTATATTAGTCCTCCAAGTGCCGTAGAGTCGCCCAATTAGGTAGAAAAAGTAGTTTTGTTTACGTGCACGCCCCTGAGTCCTCTGTAGAACAACTTCAAACGCTTTGACGATTGACTAGTCAGTAGATTTCTAATCATATGGGACAAGTCTCTGTCTACTTCCTCTCTTCAGTATCGTTATTACTCGTTTCAGCTAGGCCAAAAGCCACTGGAGCTTGAAGCTTTTCGTTGGCGGATTGTATGGATAGAAACTAAAGTCTCTTTCTCTTCATCCTCTGCAATCGCAGTTTTGTTTAGTTGTAAGTATATGAGACCATCTTTTGCATTTCTTTTTTTTTTAATTGATGAGATCATCACTCGAGTGAAATCTGAAACGGGAACTCTTTCTGTTTCCGGTGGGTATGAGAAGAAAGAAGAATTGAGAAGTAGATTTATACCATTTTTGGCGGGAATTTACTGGAATTTGAATCAATCTTTTCATGGTTCTTTGCGCGCGCTTTTTTCTTATCTTTCTTTTTCTTTTCAGTTAGGAGCAGCAGGTATGGACGAAGAGGATAAGACGAGTAATGTGAATATTAATTACGAAAGTGAAAGGGAGCGAGATATTGAAAACAATGACAAAGGGATCGACGAACCACTTTTACTGAAGAGCGCTAATAGAACCTCCCAAATTGCTATTGTTGGTGCCAATGTTTGCCCCATTGAGAGTCTTGATTATGAGTAAGCAAACCTGTTTTTCTAATTTCATTCTGTAACCAAACTTCCTTAGGAAAATTTCTAAGTGGATTAAATGGTTTTCTTTCTTTTGTTTCTTATTAGGATTTTCGAAAATGAATTACTTAAACAGGACTGGAGATCCAGGAAGAAAATTCAGATATTTCAGTACGTTCTACTTAAGTGGGCATTTGCACTTTTTATAGGCCTATTTACTGGACTAGTTGGAGTTTTCAACAATATTGCTGTAGAGAACATTGCTGGTTATAAGTTTTTGCTCACCTTCAATCTCATGGAAAAGCACCAGTAAGCCTGCTCTGCTCTCCTAAGACCTGAAATTCGAACCTTTATTTGACTTATATGCATTTCTTTCATAATCTCCCCTATTCATATTGTTTAGCATTGGTCTGCAAATGATGTTCTTCTATTAATTTCTTTTGGTCTGATTTAGGGTTAAAAAACAAATTTGTCAAATTCAGTCAGTTGGCCAAATAACATTGCTAAAATTGAGAAAAAAGCAAAATGTTTATATTTTTTAGTTAAAAAAAAAAAAAAAAATCAGCCCAAACCAATGATATTGTTTTTGTGATCGTTAGTTAACTTAACTTGTTAGTTCCATGTCATGACCGAAAATGATAAATGGTTCCGGAACAAATTACAAGGCATCTAATCTGTAGGATTTCTCAACTACCTTGCACTATAACGCTGGAAAGATGAAATTTCAACTCATAATCATATGTCTTCACATATTCCAGCCAAAATATCTCAACAGAAACAAATGAATCGAAAACCAAATAAATTCATTCATGCATCTATTCAAGAGAGGTAATCTTAATTGTTTACATGGGGTGGTTTGCTCCTTTGTTCAGTTCATTGCATGTGCTTGGATCATATATTACTAAATGTTTAGTCAAGGTACTGTGTTTTAGATCCGCAATAAGTTTTCTTGCTGCTTACATATGACAACTACAAAATGATAATGGTTCTAGTGCAGATATTTCAAGGCATTTGCCACATATGCTGGTAGCAACATAGCATTAGCGGTTGCTGCAGCAGCTCTCTGTGCTTTCATTGCTCCAGCAGCTGCAGGATCTGGTATTCCTGAGGTAAAGGCCTATCTCAATGGCATTGATGCTCACTCAATACTGGCCCCAGGCACCCTTTTTGTAAAGGTAAATGACCTTTTTCCCTCTCTCTCTCTCTCTGTCTCTCTCTCTCTCTCTGTGTAACTGTCTGTGTCTCTGAACACATGGAAATAACATATTAAATACCAATCTTTCAGAAGAAGCAGAAATGACTGGAAGTTCTAATTGTTCTTTCTATAGAGATAAATACAAGTCAACATGTGCATCCATGTACTCTTTGCTATTTTCATTGAAAGGGGTTTCTTTAGGAACATGTGGTGTAAGAGGTCAAGGCCAATCTGTATGTTCATTATGTCGTTCAGCTTGCTGGTGCATGTATACTGCGAAATGCATCTTTTAGGAACTTCTCAATTGTTGTCTTAGACCCCTAGATGACAAAACTTGTTTCCACCCAGGTCATACTTTCTCTTGTTGACACTTGCAGAAGAATTCACTTATTTCATCTAGAAACATGCAGTCTAGATTATGGTTTTCATTTCTTCTCTATATTACATGGTTCTTTTGTGGTACCCACATTACACAATCATGTTCAGCTTCTAGAATGTTAAAAATTGTACGACATTTAAAGACAATCTTTGAATTGCCAAATCATACTTTTGGTTCTGCTAGAAAACCAGCATTGTTTATGAAATTAAGTAAACTGGCTTTCCGTTTTATATTATGAATTTGTTCAGCATCTGTTGCTTCACATTAGTCATTGGCTTGGTTCTGTTTCTATTATCTCTTTTTCTTGCTCTTTTTTATTATGTTATTCTGGATTTTTGAGATCAGAAGCAAGGGCCTGATTTAGTTACAGTTTTTATGACATAAAATTAAAGGGCTGTTGTTTTAGGATTATGGAGCAGTCCCTTTTAAATTTATCGAGCCACATACCTGACTTGCTTTTGCTAGGTTTTGAACCAGAAAATCAACGTATTACTTTATCTTGATCTCTTGTTATTTCTTTTCAATATTTTTTACTCTTTTGGCAACCCTCATAATTAGGATAAAGGTTCGCTAGCTGCATTGTATATGGTGTTTATATTTCTGAGTTTTTCAGATTTTTGGTTCCATTTTGGGCGTTTCTGCTGGATTTGTTGTGGGCAAAGAAGGGCCTATGGTTCACACAGGTGCATGCATAGCCTCTTTATTGGGACAAGGGGGTTCTCGCAAGTACCATTTGACTTGGAAATGGTTAAGGTACTTCAAAAATGATCGTGACCGACGAGACTTGATCACCTGTGGAGCTGCTGGTGGTGTAGCTGCTGCTTTTCGTGCTCCAGTTGGTGGTGTTCTCTTTGCCCTTGAGGAAGCTGCTTCTTGGTAGCCCTCTATCTCTCTCTTGCTCATATACACCTTATTTATTTAGTATGGTCCTATAGTGAGAGTAATCTAGATGCATAGAGAGGTATTTCAACTTGTCAAAACTCTCTTATTTGATTTCTTATTGTGACCTTTGTTCCAGCCATTGTGGCATGTGTAGGCCTAGGGGGCATGATGACTTGCAATAAAAGGTACATTTTTCCAACATTCAACGGTTGGGATTACAGCTGTCAGAATTAAATGGTTAATAAGGTGGAAGGGGTATCTGATAAGTTATAGCCTTATTAATGCGCTTGCTGAATTTAGGAATGCTTACTCAGATTAATGGGTAACCCAGTGTGTGAAGCATCTCACATTTGTGGCTGTAGAGAGGATTGATGCATACAGCCTTCCCCTTGCTTTTGAAGGGAGGCTGTTCCCATTGCTTAAACCCATGTGCTCCAATTTGCAAGTGTAATAAGTTTACCGTCACACTAAAGCCACATTAAATGCTGACTCAAATTGTCAAATTGATGGAAAACTATTAAAAAAAAAAGAAAAAAAGAAAAGGATTTATTTGTGAGACAATCTTTTGAAACCAGTGCAGTTTAAGTACTTGGTCATTGGCACTGAACCTTGCTTTGGTATATCTAATACTGAATTTCCATAAACAATCAATTTCTCTTTCTTTTTTGCTTGGGCTTCCAGGTGGCGGAGTGCTCTTCTTTGGAGGACTTTCTTCACAACTGCAGTAGTCGCTATAGTTTTGAGAGCCTTTATAGACTATTGCTCTAATGGAAAGTGTGGACTGTTTGGGGAAGGAGGTCTGATAATGTATGATGTCAGTTCAGCGAAGTTAACATATAGAGGCTCAGATTTATTAGCAGCGATACTCCTTGGAGTTATTGGGGGCATTTTTGGAAGTCTATATAACTATCTTGTGGATAAAGTCCTCCGAACTTACAGCATCATCAATGAGTACGTTTTCTATTTGATTAACACACATTGGCTTTATTTTTTCTCCACTTCTCCCTCCTTTGACATTAGTGGGCATATGTCTTGGCTGTATGGATGTCATACGGTTTGAATTATATATTCTACATATGTCATATATATAATACTCTGAACTGTAATATAAGCATTTACTTTTATCATAATGCTTCGTCATTTTTCTTCTGAAAAAAGAAGAAAGAACATAGGGAGAAAGGTAAAGAAAAGAAAAGGAAATTAAGCATGCTACCATACTGAACTCGAGGATGTTATATCTGCATTATGAGCTGTAATTCATCTTTTATGAAAATTATCAAGGCTTCCAGTCTAAATGTTTTCTTTCTGATCCGTTAACAATGTTATTTTTATGCTGCAGAAAAGGTGCTACATTCAAAATTCTACTTGTTACTACCGTTGCCATCTTGACATCATTTTGTTCTTTTGGGTTACCCTGGTTTGCAAAATGCCATCCCTGCCCTACTGATCTTACTGTAAGTTGTCCCAGCACAGGGGATTCTGGAACGTACAAAGACTTCAACTGCCCTTCTGGTTACTACAATGACCTTGCCTCCCTCTTTCTAAACACCAATGATGATGCAATTCGCGACCTGTTTAGCTCCAGCACTGAGAAAACTTTTCTTATTTCCACTCTGATAGCGTTCTTTGCTTATGTTTATTTTCTTGGTATTATCACTTATGGGATTGCTATCCCTTCAGGGCTCTTCATCCCTGTCATACTAGCTGGGGCCTGCTATGGCCGTCTTGTTGGGAGACTGTTTAAATCTGTATCTAAACTTGACACTGGTGTTTTTGCTCTACTTGGAGCAGCTTCCTTCCTCGGTGGAACAATGAGGATGACAGTTTCCCTTTGTGTTATACTACTCGAGCTCACTAATGACTTATTATTGCTTCCGCTTGTTATGTTGGTTCTCCTTGTCTCAAAAACTGTGGCTGATAACTTCAATAAGGGTGTCTATGACCAAATAGTGAAATTGAAAGGATTGCCTTACATGGAGGCCCATGCAGAACCTTACATGAGACATTTGTCCGCGCAAGATGTTCTTTCTGGTCCATTGGTCACTTTTTCTGGTGTTGAGAAGGTGGGTAATATAATTCGTGCATTGAGGACTACTGGACACAATGGGTTCCCTGTGATTGATGAACCGCCTTTCTCAGACGCACCTGAACTTTGTGGGGTTGTATTGCGGTCCCATTTGCTTGTTTTGCTCAAGGGAAAGACTTTCTCAAGGGAAAGAGTGCTTGCTGGTGAAGAGATCTTGCATAGATTTCAAGCATTTGATTTTGCTAAAGCAGGATCAGGGAAAGGTGTCAAACTCGAGGATCTAGATGTTGAAGAGGAGGAGATGGAAATGTATGTTGATCTGCATCCTATTACAAATACATCACCATACACAGTTGTCGAAACTATGTCTCTTGCCAAAGCTGCAATTCTCTTTCGACAACTTGGTCTCAGGCATATGTGTGTGGTGCCGAAGGGTCAAGGGGTAATTCTCTCCCTCTGTGTGTTCTTTCTCCCAACAACTACAACTGAAGCTTATTTTTTCATGTTGATTACAATTATTCTGTGTGATTGTGTAGTTTGTTTATGCATATTGAGACTAAATCCCTTGTTCAGGCAATTTAAGAGCATACCCTTTTATATTGGTCTGTTGCGTTTAAGAATGTTATTTTTGGGGTGCTTACTAGTAGCATTGAACTCTGGTTGGTAAAGAATGGGAGCTCCTATGTAGTTTTATCTTTCTGTGTATGTGAAACTAACTAACTTTATCATTACTGCAGAGGCCTCCAATTGTCGGCATTTTGACCCGACACGACTTCATGCCGGAGCATGTCTTAGGAATCTACCCTCATATCAGGCCTCGTAAGTAGATCTGAGTTATTCGAACTACGAATTTGTGGTGATTAGTTTGGTTGTGTATACATGGCTTCACTATTTGAGGATGATCCAGTTACTACTGTTCCTTCTGCTGCAAGTTAAGACTTACCATTTTAAGATTAACTTGTCTAGTATTCGGTGAGCTTTACACATGACTTGGCTCTACTTTGCACATGGTTAATGTCGTTGTTTCATTCATATATTCATTAATACCCTATATTCTCAGTATTATGTTCGTTAGTTGCCAAATCTGTTGTTACATATCAAGAGGATCTAAAGTGTAATGTCCTAGCCTTCCAGTACGATATAGATTAAGTAACTTGGCAGCAACCTTACTATCAGCATCATCCCCTAATTCTGGAGGCAAGCGAAAAGCTTCTGCCAAGGCAGTGAACTGTAGCCTGATTAGCTTCTCTAAATCCACTTCATTTTGCTTGTCACCATTAAAACATGAAATCTTTTCGAAAAGCACTCGACGAGCATCATTCACTATGAAATCCTACATGAAAAAACAATGAATTCCATTCTCAGGTAATCGACAAAAAATAAATAGAGAAAAAGAATAATCAAGAAGTCAAACATCAAAATTTATACATATTGGATGGAACTCTTTTCCAAGTCCAAAGGAGTGAAGAATGACAATAGAACATATCACAAACAAATGACTTTGTGGCATGTTGACTGACATTTAAGTTTGCAGTTTGCATTCGAAAAAACGAACTTAATGCTTTGGTTGGTATAAATGAATTTGAAACGTGGAATTCATTTATAAGTGAAATTTCATGTCTGTAAATTCAAAATAGAAAATTCATTTGCTTTTATTTTCTAAAATGCTCTTGACATAATAATTTTAGACGTCTAGAAAAATGAATAGTTTTATCATAAAGTTTTTGCTTACTTAATTTGTAAAATTCATTTGAAAATTCCACCTATTTAGATAGAATTTTGGATTCTTAGAATTTAAATCTTCATTTTTTTACATTTCAAACATAAAAATTTGGATTTATAAATGAATTCCAAAAAAAAAAAAAAAAAAAAGAGTAAATAGTGACCTGAGACGTAGAGCACTATCCTTAAAAGGATTATTTTGCAATTAGATCAAAGAGATAAAACAATGCGAAAGATAAACCAATGCGAAACCCTTCCCAGGAATTAACATGTTCTTCTGAATCAATCTCAGGTAAACATCAACTGGCGATTTTTAACAATCCTAATCCTTTCCAGGAATTAACATGTTCTTCTGAATCAATCTCAGGTAAACAATAACTGGCGATTTTTAACAATCCTACCCAGCAAAGAATATCAGAAAAATATTTGCAAAATGAAAAACAAGTTCCATCGAAACTCAAGTAAACGTGATGTTAGGAAAATATCTGGTCAAAAGCTAAAATCAAAGATAAGAAGATATTTTTTGGGCCCAATCCTTACGCTCACGAATCCAACCCCTTACTACAACTTTTACTAGCCCAATAACAAACACTTATTAATAAACTAATTTAAAGGCTCCTACCCAAGTGATGTAGGATCTTTTGAAATACACTCCACCTTACAACACACCATACCAATTAAGCACAACATTATAAGCTATCTCTAATTAAAATGATGGCAGCACAAATTTAAGAAAATTTAGCAATTTTCCTTTTGTGAAGAAAATAAAGTAAAAGAAAATGAAATGTGTCCGTACCTGCGTATGATCTGTTACATATTGTTTTTTTTCTTTTGTGTCCAATTGTCTGTCACAAGTAAAAGAAAATGAAATGTGTCCGTACCTGCGTATGATCTGTTACATATTGTTTTTTTTCTTTTGTGTCCAATTGTCTGTCACTTGAACATTCTGTTTTGTGGTTTGCAAATGATTTATCATATTCATGGAGCAACAAATTCGTCCATTTCTTGTATTCATCGCTTAGGTTGAGAATGGCAAGAAACAACTGAGCAAGTTCTTTTTCTCCAACCAAACAGTCTTCAATTGCTCCTGCTTTTGAAGGGGAAAAAAAAGAAAAACATAGTTACACGTAACCATCACACTTATTCACACCATAAAGAAGGGGCAGAAATGGGGGAAAATGCTGATATAATTGCACCTGTTAAAGCTAGCTTGGTGCAGACCTCAGCCTCACGAATCTGAGGCGGCAAAATACTTGGCGTGTCCAGCACATAAATATTGGGATGGCTACCAATCTGGAAAATTAAATCAGAATTTAAATCAAAACTCCAAGAAAATAGAGGGGAAAAGAACAAGGAGAAAGTGAGTACTATTTAGCTGTCAATGATAATTCTAATAAAACCAAGTATTATTGCTGCATTTGAAGTTTTGAACACTCGTTTCCATATGATGAAAACAAAAGGAACAATAATCATACCTGGTAATTTTCCTATTATTTTTGAGCCTTCATTTTTTCAAAGAGAATCTTGAAAATGTTTTTTGAAAACTACAAATAAACTATTTCCTATTGTCAAAGCAAGTGTTTTACTTGTTTTCATAGAACCGATTTTTTGCAAACAATCAGCAATTTCTTTTGTGTTCTGCAAAATAAATTTTTGCCTTGAAAATAATGAGAAAAAGGGCTTCCAAAAACAGAAACTGAACAGGTGAATAGCTATCTTCTCCACTAATGCCCATGTGGTTATGAGATGTAAAGATAGACGTGCAGACAAAAGCATAAAATTTAAGGATTAATTGCATTGCATCTATCAAATTAATTCTATTTAATCGATCAACTCAAAGTATTATTCTCACTAAAAATTTCTTCATGCCACACAAGGTAATATCAGAATTAAAGAAAAGGGTTACATGCCTTTAAGCTGCTGATATCTTTTGTCTCTCCAGGATGTGGACTCACTATTGCATGCTTCAACTTTCCTTTCTCTAAGAAAAACCAACAATTAAGGAACTTGAGTCCATTGAAAATTTACTAAACAGGCAAGAGAGAAAGAGAGGAAGAATATGAAAGTTATATTACCTGCAGCACTGATCCTTCCTATCTGATGCAAGGAATTGGCTAGAGCTGACTTGCCAACATTTGGAGTGCCCACCAACATTATTGTTACGGTATGACTAGAATGATCAATGTTCTTCAATGCTCTAATTTGAGCTTGTAAGAAGTTGAGAAACTACAAAAAAGTTAACCCTCTAAAAGGAAGTAGGGAAAAAAAAAAAAAAAAACCCATGATAGAAAGGAAAGCAGCGGCACAAAAAGAACCTATAACCTGCTTGATCAGTTGCATATGGAATTGAATAAACAAAAGAAAAGAAATGGTTACCAGTTTGACACTATCCTTATTATGAGAATTGAGCACACAAGAAATGTAGTTTCGCTGGTCAAAATATTTGACCCAATCCTATGAATAAATAAAGATAAGATAAGAAAGTACATTAGCACAACAAGCCAAAACACAATTGAAAGCCCTCTATTTACATTATATAGGTTAGAGCAATGGGTTTTCCAGAAAACCACCTTTTTAATTTTTAGAAAAAGTTGTTTGAGAGTGTTTAGCTATTTCCAAGTTCACGTCTAAAATATGTGAAATTCACCTCTAAACAAACTTTAATGACCTACAATCAGTATTATTAATATGATGGCTTTCTCAATAACAGCTCAAACAAGTAAATAAAAATGTCCAACAGACCTTTAAGCATAAAGCTTCCTTCATAGAAGAATTAGCCACTGAAATCATAGGAAGGATTTCAACTTAATAGATAAAGCTAATAAACTCAGCTGACCTTGAGTTGGGAGCGATTAGCAAGGTCCATTTTGTTCATCACTATAATTCGGCGAGACGAAGGCATATCATTACTCAACAGCTGACATTCTGAAGACATCGGAATCTAAAAAGAAGATATTTCTCAGTTGAAACATTTTATCGAACACTTGGCAGTTGTGGGTGAATAAAGAACGAATATAGGAGGAAAAAGAGCTAAAAGACACAAACCCGAGCATCTCTCACTTCAACAACGAAATCAACCAATGGGATTCGTTCTGCAATGGCTCGAGATGCAGCTGCCATAAAAGGAGTGTACCATCCTTTTCCTCTGTTTCTTGCTGCTAGCTTTACTCTATTTCCTATTTCAGTTGCTAATGTTTTTATGTAATAATTACTACCTTTACCATTCATTGCCTTCTCTTTTTCTTCTTCTTCTTCACTTCACGAAAAAAATAATCTATACTATGCATAACTACCAGAACGAAGTCACTGTTGACAGAACGCTGCTTCTGTATATTTGGATCCCATTTTAGCTGATGTGGTGGTCGATATGGACTAAAAAGCCCCCTTCATCCCTGCCAGCTGTCTCCCAGCCGGAAGGAACGATGAATTTCAAATTTGCCCCTATTCAAACCCGAAATATCACTTCGAAAATCAAGAAACACTTATCTCTTGTTCAAAGACGCCGACGGAAAACGATCTGAAATCCAGCAGAAGGAAATTCAAAAGCTCTGCTAACATGAAAAACACGAAGTCGGAACCAAAGCCCAACACCAAATAGAGGGAGGAAGGAGGGGAAGATGACCGAGAGGTAGGGGAAGGAGAAGGAGAGCTGAGTACCGGTGGTCGGTCCAGTGGGGTTGATGCTGATAAGGATTTGAAGCACTGAAGGTCAACGCTGCTTTTCATTTCATCAACCAAAACTGCAACTAAAACGGCATAATTTCATTCAACACTTCAACTAAAATACGGCACCGTATGGTATTTAATTTGGCTCGTCCAGTGGGAAAAGAATGATAGGAAATAAACTCCCTATATAAACTTCGAAGCTCAGGCTCGGAGAAAGCAGATGCAGACGCAGTTGAGAGGAATGATGGAAAAGGGAAAGAAAGGGAAAGGAGAGAGGAAATGCAGGGAGAGAAAGGATTGAGATTTTTTAACCTAAGATTCATTTTTTCAACCTCTTATAGGTTCATTTCCTTTTTTTATTTTGTACTTTTTCTTTTATTCCATATTTGCTCATCTCTTTCTCACAATTGCATTTTTCACGCCTGCAGTTTGTGCTTCAGATATTTTTTGTTTCTTTTGTTCCCCGAGTGATTCTCCTTCGCTTTGGTTGAAGCTGCATTATTAAGTCAAGGAACTGAAGGTATGAATTTCAATTGTTTGTTAAAATGCCTAGCAGAAAAGAGTTTACATTTGGCGTTTATACAGTACTGGAAATGTGGTGTTTGACATTTTATACATCGTTTTAGAGACCATTTTTGAAGATGATGTTGGTCAAAAGTTTGCTTGCAAGGTCTGTCCCCTACACTAGAGGTTTTTCTTATACTCCTCCAAGTGTGCTTAGAACTGGTGATATCTTAAGGCAAACAAGAACATTCTCATATCAAGACCTTATAGATTACTCAAAGGTGAGTCATGACTTAAATCCGCTTCATTTGGATTCTGAAGCTGCCCGGGATTCTGGATTCGAGGATCGGATTGTGCATGGAATGCTTCTTGCTGCATTGTTTCCTCAGATTATTGCATCCCATTTTGTGAGCTCCACTTCTACTACTCTTAACTTCACTTTCTTCAGTTCCATTCTTTACTCATTAGCAGCACATTAAATGAGTCAAGTAGATTCAAGAACTTAAGTTAACTTGATTAGGAAATTCGAGGTAGATTGAAATTTAATTTTCACACTAAAAATCAGTCTGAACAAAATTCATGAATATTTGGGCTCAACTCGGTTTGACATGATTATTGTTATAAGCCTAAATAAATAATGTTAAAACAAATTTCGAATTCTCTTGAATGAGCTCGAATTAATAAATTATTATTTAAATATAAAATATCTTTAAATACTCTATTAGGCTTGCCAGTCATATTTGAGTCCACTGCTATATTACTTGAACTCAACTTGAATTATTACTTGAGTTCTAGTTTCATGCAATTAAAATAGAGTCAAATTTGAATATTTTGCAAGTAAAATCCAAGTAGTTTGACCCATCTACGCTACTACTCATTCCTCTCTATATTCAGTCTTTGTTTTGTGGGCTATTTCATTTTCCATGTTTATGGAATTGTTTATTTTCCTCAAAGACATTTTGCGATTTTTTCATGAAGAATGAAGGTCTGAGTTGTGTAATTTAATGGTAGCCTGGAGCAGTGTATGTTTCTCAAAGCTTGCATTTTAAGAGCCCTGCATATATTGGAGAGGAGGTTGTTGGTGAGGTACAAGCTATTAATATAAGAGAGAACAAAAGGAGATACATGTAAGCTTTACATTACGTAACTCACTTTAATTATGTTCTTGGCCATAATTTATTCTTTCTGTTGAGTGTTATTTGGTTGTGTCATACAGAGCAAAATTCTCGACCAAGTGCTTCAAGAATGGTGAGCTTCTCGTTATTGATGGTGAGGCCACGGCAATTTTACCAACCCTAGTTGTGGAAAATAGATCAAAAGGAGCTGGCGCAAATGCTAGTGACTGGTGGAAGAATTGATAACGTTCATCTGTCAATTTTCCTCTTTTAAGAATTTTAGTGTACAGAACTATTTTAGCAGTTGGAGTCAAATTTTAAACTTATGTTTGTTGGGAAAGCATGAATTAACTCGCAGTCAATGCAGTTTGTTAAAATTGTGATTTATATTAATTTTATTTTCGTCATTTTCTTCATTCTGCACATAGCTACTCCATTTGCTGGTAAAATGCAACCATTCCATATATAGTAAATAAAAATTACAAAAGTCCACATATATCAATGTTAATTTCAACCTGTCTAATTGTTCTAATATACAAGTAATTTAAATTTTGATTGTTGTGCTTTTGTAAAATATATTATAAATTTCATAAAACCATGTATATTTATCTGGAATAGTACGCTAGCATATGCAAGGGTATATAGGTAATGAAAGCCTCCTTTTGTCCTTGATAATGTTAAAGTGAAATTTGTAACCTGTCATGTATGAAATCAGTTTAAACTTGGAGTTATTGTAACTCGCTGTATATTTATCGGTTCAAAATTTCTGAGAAAGGATTGAAGTTTATAGTCTTGAATGACCAGTTCCATTCTTCCATTTTCCTAATAATTAGCAACCTAGTTAATTATTTGACCCTTTCTCCAATTCTAATTAACAAGACTCTTAAGAAAATATGCCTAATTATAGCAAAAATCTTAATATAAATAAATCCCTATCTCTTTCATCATCAATCAACAAAAATAAAAATAAAAAATCATTTCAAGAAGAAGTAAAAAAAATAAAAAAGAAGAATGGCTCTGCCTAAGGGACTGATTGTCTTTGCCTTTTGAGAATAAAAATAAAAAATCATTTCAAGAAGAAGTAAAAAAAATAAAAAAGAAGAATGGCTCTGCCTAAGGGACTGATTGTCTTTGCCTTTTGCATGCTCATTTTGAGCACAACTATGATAATGACAACAACAGCAGAGGAACCGACAGAAATTGCAGATACAGACAGCAGCACCTTTGGACAGGATGATAGCAGCACCTTCGGCACAAATGTCAAAGGAGCAGGCTCCAAGAGATTGTTTAAATAATAATAAAAGAATTCATTATTAAGCTATAATTTCTCTAGGTAATAAGAATTTCCAATAGAGTGAAGTCATTTCTGATTCTCTCTGGGAATGAGAATGCAAATGTGCATTGTAATAGAGTTTCTTTAAAATCCTATGAAAAATTTTCTATTTGAATAAATTTTCAACTTACTTTGATTTTGTTTCATCGTTATTATAAGTTTCCTGAATTAAGTTACTTTTTTATCTAGTAATTTTATTTTCATTCAGAGCTTTCTTTATCTCCATTTTATCCATGAAACGATGTGAGATAATATATCATAACGCAACAATATAGTTATTCAGTTTACAAATCATAAAATTATAAAAAATTTATCTACAAATATTATCTTTTATAAAATTATAAAATTCTATAAAAAAATTATCTAAAAGCAATTTTTTTTATAAAAATAGTTTTAAGAATCCTAATATTTTTATTATATCATTTTTCAATTATTCATTTTTATTTGAAATTATAAACAAATTTCAGTTTTATGTAGTTATTTTTTAAATGCACAATCTGAAAAAGTCATTCCTCTACACTATAAGAAAAAGGAAACGAAAGTTCCCCTAAAAGCATGATAATCTTGAAAAGAAAATGAAGATTTTTTTTCTTTAGACTATCATTAAGAGCTTAAACTGGCAAGATCTGCCATTACAACTGAATGAAACAAGAGAGGTATCTCCTCCACCCAAATCTGCTCCTCAACCGCAGAAGTGAGACCATTTTTAGCTAAACTATGAGCTACATTATTGCAATTTCTGCTAGTAAAAGAAATCTGAGAAACAATGAAAGAATCTAACAAAGCATGAATTTTCAAAATTCTAGTTCCTAACTCAGAAAGAGGGAGAGACATGGTCCGAACCATATTGACAATGGCTTGACAATCAGACTCCAGAATTACCTTTGAAAAGCCCAACTCCATTGCCCGCTGCAAAGCAAAAATCATGGCCTCCGCTTCTGCGTCTTCTGGTGCCAATACCTACGCCACTTGCTTGTAACCCGACGCCAGAATTGCCCCTGTGCTGTCCCTGACCACCATCCCAAAACCACAAGCACTCTCTATTTGGATTGCTACGTCACAATTAATCTTGAACATATCAGCAGGTGGTGCACGCACTCCAACGTTTGACGGCAGCATTTTCCAGAATCGATGTTGCACTTGTTGGAGTACGTGGGTAATCTCATATGGGATAAATATGACTAACTAAAATGATTATTAAATATATAATTGAATTTGAATTTTATTAATTTGCTTTTAGAGCTCAAATTCTCGACATGGTATTAGAGCTTGGGACTCAACATACATGAGAAAAGTTCCTGTGTTGGATCGTACCCGCGTTGGGCCATCATATGCTTGGGAGAGCGTTGGAGTATGACGGATAATCTCACATCTGATAAATACAATTAACTAAAAGGCAAATAATACAGCACTCTGCAACTGCACTTGAACACTTTTCTTCTTACACTGCTGGAGCTCAATCAGTAGCGACATTGCCATTTGGGAAACTTGCACAACTGACTTTCTCTGGTTTTGGAACAGGAGCAGATTCTGATTCCTCCACAAAGACCATCAAACCATACAGACCACCGCCATCTGCTCATGCATCCTGACCGCCATCTCCTTCTCCCCCATCAACTGCCCTGCCGCTAATTCTCTAAAATCAGGTTTAAAAACCAGTTTACGTGACGCAAAACTTTTCTCCCTAGCTCCAAACGGCATTGAATTGTTTTTCCGAAAAGGAGAAGGCCGAATATCTTCACCATACTTTAGATTTTCCTTTTTAGCCTCAGACTCCAAATCTGCCTTGTCACATTTGTTGTAAGAATGGCCACAACATCCACAGAAATAACAGAACATAGGCAGACCTTCAAATTTTAATGGAACCCCGATAATCTTGTTATTAAATTTGAGCCTTGTCCCCTGCAATAATGGTTTTGTGAGGTCCAACATTACACGAAACCTGATATATTTACCCCACACCACCTCGCTATTATCTTACCATTCGATAAAAGAACCCATCTTGGTACTGATCATCCTAGCGACATCCTCATTCATGCATAGCAAAGGAAGATCATATGCTCTGACCCATAAAGGATAAGTGCTGAACATGACATCAGAAGGCTGCTCATCACCCGCTACCTCTTTAAGAACAAACAGATTGTGGGTCCCGTATATCTATGTCACAACCCAAGAGGGGGTGAATTGGGTTTTCTAAAAACAGATACAAATTTTAGAAATTCTAAATAAGAATTAGAATTCTAAGTGCAGCGGAAAACACACAGAACTTTGTGAGAATAGATGGAGTTAGAATCACCTCACAATGTATCTAATTTACAAAAAAGATAGAGAAGTCTATGCAAAGTGCAGCTATCGATCTAGAACAGTTCACACTGACTTATTCAATATCCAGAAACTTCTTTATGAAGGAAAAGTTATTGAAATTAGAAAAAAAAAAAAACCCTTTCCCCTCGATTAAAGTTTGAAAACAATAAAGCTTATGTGAAAAGGACATTATTAAATTCAGAAACTTCTTCACAGAGCTTAATAAAGATCAGAAAAGACTTATGATGGAAAGCTATCAGTATTAAAAAACTCTCATGAAAGTGTAGAAAGTAGATTAAAAACCCAATCAGTGAATATAATGTGAATAGAATAACATTAGAACCATGGTGTAGTCACTTTATGAATACCAATTCTAATGTCAGGTAATAATAAACTTATTACCGTTTTAGAACATCCCTGAATTATTAACAAATTTTAGCGTTCTAAGAATTTAACAAAATGTATAAAAAGACAGTATCAGAGCAAACTGCCAGAGATAAAGAGATCAAGCACCAAATCTATAGGGGTTCGGCACTAATGCCACATCTACTCCCCAAGACGCCATCTTGAGATCCTCAACTATGTTATGCTCTTTTTAAAGGTAAGAAGACAAAATCAACAGAGTACCCCAAGGCAATAAGATCAACACCTAGATCTAACTCTTTTGTCCCACTAGATTTCCAAAAAGGTCAGTTAACCTCAACCGCTTTTCATGTTTTTGTCAGAGTAGCAGAAAAACTCCGATTCAAGAACATTACTATCCCACACATGGAGAAAGGTCGCGTGATAACCTCTATCTCCGCTTGATAACCTCTATCTCAATAGCTTCTAACCTAAGCTATTACACACAAAAGTTTAACAAATAAAGAGTCTGTCTACTATAGATTACACAATCTAAACAGACAGAAAGAAACGCACATATAAGCACAGAAAAAACAGTTTTATCATATTAGAAGATCAATTAGAACACAGAACTATTTTCAAAAGTAATTGTAAAAAAAATTCTTTTCACTTTAAATATTGAAAACGTTAAGTGTAGAGATAAAAAGAAAATGGGGGTAGAGAGTAAGTTTTGAGAGATAAAGATTTATTCGATGAGAGAATGCTCTTAAAACAAAAACTCTTACTTCACCAAATGTATAAGGCGTGAACGTTCATTTATATAGGAAGCAAAGAAGCTGTCGCCTTTTGGAAAAAGATTGAAATCAGAATATCTTCTTTCCTTATTTAGAAGGTATGAAAATCTTTGTTATCAAAAGTTTATTTTATGTTACCAAAAGTTTATTTTATCCTTTTTGGTAAGAGAATAAAACACGATTTTGCTTTCCTTTAAACAAGAGATTTTCGGCAGCAATATTTGGAAAGATATTTTTGCGGAAGAATGTTCTTACTAAAAACGAAAAATATTCTCCTTCGTTTTTAAGGTAAGAAAATAAATTTAAGTATTTTAGATCTTTGAAAAGATGTTTTCAAAAAGAGTATGATTGTATTACCAAAAACATTTCGAGAAGAAATCTCTTAAGTTTTAGGAAAATAAACCTTTTCGATTTAACGGAATATTTTTGAAAATAAATTATTTGAAGAAAACTAATTTTCCAAAAAATATTTTTGAGAGAGAAATGGATTTTTATGCTCATATATGGATTTTCTCTCTATCCTACAAAATATCCTAAATACCTAGCTTACTAGGATCTTCGAAATCTTCACACTCAATGTAGGACTTGCCTTGTATGATTTCTTTCCAAAGAAATTCTGCATAAATAAAATTAGCACAAGTAACATAATT